TCCTTCCTTCCTTCCTTCCTTCCTTCCTTCCTTCCTTCCTTCCTTCCCTCCTTCCTTCCTCCTTTTCTTCCCTCCCTCCCTCCCTCCCTTCCTGCCTCCCTCCCTCCCTCCTTCTCTCTCTTTTTCTTTCTTTCTTTCTTTCTCTCTTTCTGTCCTTCCTTCCTTCCTTCCTTCCTTCCTTCCTTCCTTCCTTCCTTCCGGTCAGACTTGATGATGAAGAGGCATGAGGGAACTTTTTGGAAAGACGGAAATGTTTTACATCTTGATTGTAGGGAGAGTTACATGAACATCTATATTTGTTAAAACTGAGAGTACTGTACACTACAAAGGGTGGTGAATTTCACTGTATATAAATCATATCCCCAATAAAATGTCAGTCTGAACAAAATCTAAAAATCTAAAAATGCTTATAGCAGCGGGTCAAATAGTAAAAAAGTGAAAATAAATTAGGTCCCCCATTTCCCACGTGACCTGATGTTCACAGCTCATAAGACCATGCACTGTCTTCCGGTGGGAAAAATGTTTGGGATCCCAAGAACTCAGGTCAGACCCATCTCTGCAAAGCAGGTGGTGGACAGCTTCTCAGGGGTGGGGCCAGTTTCTGCTGTGTGACCCTGTTCCTCTCACTCCTGCCTGCAGGCTGCCTTTCAGACTGAGTTCTGTGGGCTGGAGAGCCCCGCTGCACCTGCCTCCCAAAGACTTCCTGATGTCATGCGTGGTTGAAAGCCTTTGTAAGAGGGGATTCATAGCAGCCTCCCGCGCTCATGTTAAGGCGTTTGTGATAGGTGCCGCAGCTTCGCTGTGCCTCAACTTTAGAGTAAGCTCCAGTTGACCCCTCGTGTTCCTTGAAGCAAACCTCTGTGTAAGGAAAGGGTCCCAGAGCTGGCCACAGTGGGGTGGCAGGGTGTCTTGGTGGCAGCTTAAACTGTTTTGCAGCCTCGTGCTTTTAGGGACTCCAGGCCAGGAGTTAAGACTCTACAGCACAGTCACTTTATCCTCTCCGCCCACTCCACAGAGCCTGGCAGGGAAGGCAGTCCAGAGCAGCGGGTCAAACAGAGGTACACGGCTGCTGACTGAGACCCACCAGGGAGGACTAAGGCGATGGAAAAGGCCACTCTGCCTAGACTTTGAATTCCTCAGTTCCTTGGGGCTAAACATAACACCTCAGCTCTCAGTGGAGCCTCTCTTCCCTTGTGGCATTTATAAACCTTGACTCATGCATTGATGCCATTAACTGCCAGGAATAGCTAGGAACTGGAAAATGTAACCTTTTAATTTGAAGGCCTATACTTGAAGAAATTGCTTGTCTGCAGTGCTGAGGTTCTGGGAAGCACTTCTGATGCAGTGCTGAGCAATGAGAAGAAGGGATTGAAAGAAGGAGAATCACAGCTGAAAACAGAACCTGGTGCCTCTTGTGCTCTGTGTCTCATCTTTCCTTTCCAGCTTCCCCAAGCTCTGACTTACAAATGATTTTTGGGTTCATTCTGGCCACGCCAAGATGTTCCGCCAGGACGTTTTGATTGGACTGAAGGGAAATGGGTTATTTAAGTGGCCCAAACTTCAGAACAAGATGTGTGTTTATACCCATTCTGTTGCTCCATTTCGGCTCCATCAGATGATACAGAGAGGAGAAAGACTCCTGGGCTCTGTAGCGGAAACCTGTTGGCAAGGCTAAGACCACCTGGCCCCGGCCACCAGCAGAGATGCTGCTTGAGAGAGACAAGTCATGAGCATTTGTGCAGGCTCTGTACTGAACAATAATACGCCGAGCCGCAAATTATGGCTTTCAGATGTCACCACTGCCATCTGACATTGTGTTTCAGCTGTTCAAGGTCACCACACTGTGCTGCAGCCTCCCATTAAGGCTGTTACTGTGTGTGAGACAGATTTATGTTATGTGGTTTCTGCAATTCCTGGCAATAACGCTCACCATGGTTATCAGGCTGATTGCCAAAACCCTATGGTGGAGATGCTCTGAGTCTATAGGTTGCTTTGTGGGCGTCCCTGTGTGCTGTGTGTGTGTGTGTGTGTATGTGTGTGTGTACATCCCCTCCTCCATGCCCCCATCTTGTAACAGCTGGAATCAGCCTCCACACTACAGGAATCGTTCTTGTGTGGTTTTCTCATCTCCCTTGCTCCCCTTATGGCCCCTCCTGGCCCATCTGCCAGGATCCTTCCCTCCTCTTGCCTTCTTTGAGGTGGTAACTAGACTAACACAGCAATGCCCTTGTGACTCCCTTTTCAGTTTCTCATTTCACTCAGATTAATGGAACAGAAACATGTGCTTGAGATCTGATGCCAGTAATCATATCCTGAGTACTGGGCCAGAGACAGAGATTGCCAAAGGCACTGGCCGGGTCCCGGGGGATACGGTTAC